ATATTATTAATCCCTTCAGGTTCCTAAATATTAATATTATTAATCCCTTCAGCTGTTCCTAAATATTGATATTATTAATCCCTTCAGGTTCCTAAATATAAAAAAAAATATAAAATAAGTAACAAAATAATAAATTTGAAAAAAAAATTCAACTTTGAAAAAAAAAATTATTTGCCAATGTCACCACGGTTCCCTCAAAAATGTTTAGTCATTTGGCCAGCTATAGCTAACATATATACAAATATATATATATATATGAGCTAAGAGATGTATCATATTAACTAATCGTTAAAATTGAAAAACTATCATTTTGTTCGTAATATTAGCGATTTTTTTTCCCTTCGAAATACGTGCCCACATTAAATATCAAGATCAAGCGTTAAATATTAACAATACTCCACATAAAAGTTATTTTAAGATACAAGTTTTTTCACAAAAATAATAGAAAATGATTGATTTAATGATATATTAGCTTTCATATTTTTAAACTTGGTTGCATCTTTTAAATTACCGACATCAATCTTGAAAAATAGGAAAAATTAAATAAAAACAAAAACAATACGGGGTCTCTTGCATCAGCTTTGTAAAATTATCTCTTATCAAAAACAAATAGTAAGAATGTAGCTAAAAATTAGCTTTGATATTTCAAAACTTGCATTATAATGACTTACCAATCTCAATCTTGAAATCAGGTTTATAAAAAGTCCTCTTATCAAAAACAAATAATAAGACTGGAGCTAAAAATTAGCTTTAATATTTCAAAACTTGCATTATAATGACTTTCCAATCTCAATAAGATTTATAAAATAAGATTTATAAAATGTCCATTAGCAATCTTTAAAAAAATCTTTAAAAAATAAAAAAAAATTCTTACCTTAGGTTTTTTAATGAATCCTGTTTGATCTCCTTGATTTTATTATTGGCAAGATTCAGTACGTTTAGGTTTGAGTTGTTGGTAAACAACCCAGCCTGTACTGCAGATAACCGGTTTCCAGCCAGGCGTAGCCCGTACAGGTTCACCAACCCAGCTAGCTCAGAGTTTTCAACCTAGATAGATAGATAGATAGATAGATATATAGCAAAATAGATAAATATAAATATAGCAAGATAGATAGATAGAAATATAGATAGATAGATAGATAGATAAATAGAAAGATAGATAGATAGATAGATAGATAGATAGATAGATAGATAGATAGATAGATAGATAGATAGATAGATAGATAGATAGATAGATAGATAGATAGATAGATAGATAGATAGATAGATAGATAGATAGATAGATAGATAGATTTATAGATTTATAGAAAGAAAGACATATAGATAGATAGGTAGATAAATATATGTAAATAGATAGATAGAAAAATATATGTAAATAGATAGATAGATAAATATATGTAAATAGATAGATTGATAGATATTTATATATAGATAGATAAATGTTAAGAAATGTTAATAGATTTTGTATGCATCTAACTAAATTACTTAACTAATTATAAATAAAAAAACAAATAATTAAATATAAAGAATCAATGAAAGAATATCAAATAGATTCTAATAATCTATTTGAAGAATACTGTATTGGATAGATAAATAGATAGATAGAAAGTATGCTCATCGGAAAAAGCTATTAAAAAAAAGAAAGATTAATTTCAATAAATAAACATTATTAAATCATTAAATCATGAAATGTTGAATATCTAGGAAAGGTTAAAGGATGGAAGGATGGATTGATGAATATGGAAGGATGAATGAATTAATGAATGAATGGATCAATTAAGACAATATTTTACAATTGCTCCTTCTTTACTAAAGATTACCTGTTTAATCATATTCTCGCCAAGATCCAGAGTCCTCAGGTTAATAAGACTGCCCAGGGCCGAGGGAATGGCCTCCAGGAGGTTACTGTTGAGGGCCAGTACTCCCAGGTTGCTGGAGGCTGAGAAGAGGTCCTCGGGGAGGGAAGCAAGGAGGTTGTGGTCGAGTGAGAGGGAGTTGAGCGAGGAGAGAGGAGAGAAGAGGGAGGAGGGAAGGGTGGAGAGTTGGTTCTCAGATAGCATTAGGATATGCAGATTCCTAAATATTAAATGTAAAATAAAGTTTCATAGAAAGTTATTACATTCTTTTACATAAACCCCTTTGTAGTAAATGCCGTACTCTTAAAACTTTGTCTCCAAACTGTATCAGTCCAGGTACAACAAGTCCGCTATCAAAGTCAACCAGGACTCAATCCAGCAGACTAGAATCCCATGAACTATCAACGCCACTTCCAATGGGCGCGATCTCGGTAGCTATCAAACAAGCTATTATTCAGGCTCTAAATGCCACACAGAGACACAAGCGTAGCTATCTATCAAACAAGCTATTACTCAGGCACTAAATGCCACACAGAGACACTAGCGTAGCTATCTATCAAACAAGCTATTACTCAGGCTCTAAACGCCACACAGGGACACAAGCGTAGCTTTCTATCAAACAAGCTATTGGCTATATAACAAGTCCTTAATCGATCTCTACTCTCTCTGAGTGAGATCTCATCCTAAATATTACAACAAGCTGTTTACAATTACTCTACACTGTAATCAAAGCTGAGTTCTGATTCTAACTGATCTTATATACAAATATCTAAATGTTACATGTTAAGTTCCAATACGTATTCACACTATTATGCAGGTATATAATCTAATCACTACGTGGCTAGTCTAGTCGCATTACAAGTTTTACATATTTAAGGATTAACGCAGCTAGATCCTCAGACAGATATTAAAAAGGGTTTAAGCTAACAATGCTATGTATTCATTTGAAAGCAGTTCAAATGAATAATGTTTTCTACGTAGAAGTTTACAAACATAGATAATTAATAATGTACAATGTAATGCAAGTTTACAGAATATCATGTGACCCGATATTTATTACACCTAACATTTTTCATAGTGTTTTATAAAGCAACGCAAATCTCACATTTTTTTTTTTTACCAACCCTGCATAGATATATAAACATATTTTAGATGAAGAATAATTAGAACGTTTAACTTGTGTAGAAAAAAGAAAAAAATAATGAAATGTCGAATCAAAAAGGATTTCTGAAAAATATTAAGGAATGGAAAGTTACACAAAAGACTCAATAATAAATACATTAAAAATAAATTGGAAATTGATTGAAAAATTAAAAAGAGTAAGATTAATATAAGGGTATAAAAATATAAGGATAGAAGGGTAGAAGGATAGAAGGATAGAAGGATAGAAGCATAGAAGGATAGAAGAATAGAAGAATAAAAAGATAGAAGGATAAAATCATAAATTCACTCCATCAACTCCAAAAAAACTGAACCAAGTGACTGAAAACTCTGACTCCCAAACAAAAACTGACCTGAGTGACTGAAAACTCTGGCTCTGAATGTCTTGAATAAGATTATGCTGAAGGTTAAGGATCTGGAGTCCAGGCAAGTTTAAGAGGTTTCCTGCCTCAATTCTAGAGATCTCATTGTAGCTCAGGTCTAGGGCTACTAGCTTACCCTACACAATATATTAATCAATCAATCAATCAATCAATCAATCAATCATAAACAAAACTTTAATCAATCAATTAGATAATAATGAATTAATGAATGAATGAAAGGATACATAAAAGGATGAATCAATGGGTGAATGCAAAGAAGGACGGATGAAAGATGAAAGGATGAAAGAATGAAAGAATGAATGAATGAATAAATGAATACCTGCTCTTGAAAGGTCTGGTTGTTTAAGCTGTCTGAGGTTAAAGCATTGTGGGATAGATTCAAGAGTAGGAGATTATTCAAACCTAGATTTATCATTATTAATTTTATTATTATTATTTTATATTATCATCATCATCATTATTATTATTATTATCATTTGGTTTTCTAATATTTTTAATTGAACAGAATATATATATTTGATATCTTTAAGGGAGGACCCATACAATTGTGGAATAAGCAATCTAATGTGCATTTTAATATTGTTAAAGCAAACAATTTTACCAGTAGCCTAAAATTCAACCTTTTAAAGGGACCGTATGCGCAATTTCAAGTGACCCTCCAAGGAAAGATAGTCGTGCTAGATTGACAATGGTACCCTTTAAAGATTTTTCTGAAGTATTAATTAGAGATCAATGTTTATTTTTATTTTGTAGTTTCGCTCCAAAAGAGAATTGCGCATTCCTTGTTTATAAGACGCAACGGAGAAACTCACAGAAATAAACGCTTTCCGAGTCAGAAAAAACAACGATTTCTTCCATATTTTTGATCAGATTAAGGTTTCAAGGTTATCGCTGTAAATCGGGCATTGCCAATTTTGCATGGAGGGTCACTTAAATCATACTTACAGTCACTTTAAGTGAAATGGATGTGTGCAAACTGCACAATTGCTGTGAGTCATGTTCATTGGACTATTTAAAATCATAACTTGAGTCTAACAATCGCTTTCTTACTCCACAGTTTTATGTATCCCACTGTACAACCTTTTTAATTAAAAAAAGAGGACAAATGAAAGAAAAAGGAACAAAGGACAAATTAAAAAAAGGACCAGAGGACAAATAAAGAAAATAAACGAATTGTAGAGCAAGTATCAAACGAAAAGGAGAAAAGGGTTTAAAATGTAAAATTTATAAAAACAACAAATCGAGGGGGG